TACATTATCGTGGTACGAGCGAATCATTGTTTTTCGACATCGTAGGGAACTTTCTTCCAAGTAAGCACTCTTACAGGGGCATAGTTCCTTGCAACTAATCCTACCTCAGTACTCAACTTTGATGCATTTACTCCAGTAGGTACTCCATCTTCTTTTTGAAAGTCTACATGCAACTTTGACTGCGCTGTTTGTAGGAGTCTTTCACATCCAACTCCTCTACTCTTCTCTCACGTTCTTTGCCATAATATTCTCTACAAAATCAAAATAATGCATCAGCAGTAAATACTATGTTATCACAAGGATGGTTTACATGTTGGTAAAATAACTGTATTCTTAAATTTTGAACAAACATTGTACTCGATATCTAAAATCCAAGTATATATTTCAGTATGCTTATATGGACCAATATCACAAGTTTACCAGTGATTGCAGCAATTTCAGGTGTCGGTACAGGACTATGATTCTGTGGAACAACATTTGCATGTCTCGCTAGGGTCCTTCTTGTACCAGGAGCCATTGTGACCTTCTAGTTTCGCAAACAAAACATAAATTCAGTATCATAAATATGTTCTATCACAAAGACAATACTCAACCCAATCAAACCACATTCATTCATACAAAGAATATAGTACTAGTGATAATGTAAATGAGTATAAATGATCAATAAATTAATTAAATATCAATTTATGTAACTTATACCTTTTTTCTTTTTGGTTGTAGTAGCAGTGGTGCCTACACTCTTCTTAGCCTCGGTCTGCAAGTCAACTTTAAGATCCTCAAATACCTTATAAAATAAAATAATTAGGTTATCATTTTATAATTTATCAAGAATATGTCATTTTCCTTATATGAAAAGAAATACCACACTCTAAATTAAATGAATCAGCAAGCAATGGCTAAAATTAAAGTCAAAGGCAGCTTGAAAACAAGCAACAAGAGTAAAAGATAAGTAAGATCAGTCTATAATCCAGAGGATATGTACTTTGCACTGATCCATATTGATAATTGTAATATCACTAGGCTTTTGTTTATACAATTCAAGGTAAAATTGGATTATTATGTGAATGAAATACGGTTAATTCTTTCATCATCCCATGGTTTAGTAAACCATATGTCTAGGTGTCAATCTCTAAACTTGTGATGGTGCTTTTGTTGTAAGTAAAAATCAGTCAACCAACTTTAGCAAGACATCCTCTAAACTACATCTTTCACTTAAATAATCATAAGAAATGTTATATCAGTTTGTATATGTAACACTATTTTTAGGCTAATAAGTTTATCTTAAAACCGAAACCGTCGTATTCGATTAACATAAATGTATATAATTAACAAACAACTTAGAAAACATAATTGTTTCCCTACTAAAGTTACCATTGGCTTTTTTAAGTGCTCTTGCTAAGCTAAACTTTATAATTAATTATTAATTATACATAATAATACTTGTTCAACTTTCTAACATGAGTAATTGATACAAATACAGTGATTGATAGTTTTTAATGCAAAGTATCAAATAAAACACAGGTGGATTAATTGTAAAAGCCATTGAAACACAGTGAAATAGAGATGAAAAAGTACAAAATCAAAATCAGATATCAAATGATTTTGTTGAACAGCAAGTTTTGTAATTTTGGTGGGTAAAGCATAGTCCCTTTTCATGATCTCAATCGGCCCTATAGACTGACGCTAGCATCCCTCAATATTATATGCCTATAACATTACAAAAACTCCCCTTACAGTGCTGTATTACATATAGTTAAAGCCATATGAAAGAGCAATAATATTGAGAAAATACAGGGCATGCATTGAAGCCAAACTTTAGAGTATTCAAAGTGAAATTAGGAAATTATCTATCATTTAAACACTTTAGAGTATTCAGAGTGAAATTAGGAAATTATCTATCATCTAAACGCTTTAGAGTATTCTGCACACCCCTGGTACTAAACACTACTTCTAAACAGTGACAACAATTGTTACTGAAACCAATACAAAAATGAAACAATTAATTAACTACAGAACCATCATCATCTCAAATCATTGAGGAAGTAATTCCTTAACCGTCGGTATTGGCCTTCTGCTAGCTCTAAAACATTCTGCCACTAAATACTCATCTATAAACTTGCATCTATGAACTTCTTTCTCCAACCTTAATTTCCCTTTTTAATTATTGCAGCACTCAATTATTACTTACTGTATTAACATGAATTATTGCTGCCTAAAAAATGTGCAATCAAGAGTAAACTGGTTTATGCCAGTACCCTGCCAAGACCCATTCACTTTCTTATGGTATGAATGGTTACGACCAATCTAGATTAGCCATCTTGGGATCCTCTTCGAAAATACTGATATGAATAATGTTATGATTTACAATTTTTTTGTTGACATAACATGTTTTGAGAACAACAGGAAGCACTTTTAGTATCACAACCGTAATAAAAACCAGAACCACTTCTCACAGCACAAGAAAGTGCAAAAAGAATATGAAATATATTAACCTACTTTACTACATTGCACAATAATGATAGATTGTGTATATATTACTTTTTGATTAGAAGTGGTTCCATATAATTGAGGCATTAATAATATTTTGGGTTATTCCAGCCCGCTGCAACTCATTTTCACAGATTCTATTTATCTTTAGGATATAGAGACGAAGAAAAAAGGTTCTATGGAAATCTTTTGTTTTGGACTTTGGGGGAAAATCTGGGAAGAAGTAATAGAAGATTTTGGCCTTGGTCTCATAAAACTTTCAAAGACACTCCCTTTCCAGTGCTTAAAACTAGAATAATATTGTAGATTTTGGATGGCTTTGATACTTATAGAGTAGCCATCAAGGCATTTGATTTGATTGATTAGTTCTGGCACTGTGCCCAATTTGAAATTAGTTTTTGTTAACGGTTTGTTAAACGTAAAAACAGTTATATCACAGAAACATTCATCTACATACAATTTTGAGGACTGAACAGTAATTGGAACAAATGGAACAATATGATCACTAGGTTGAAAGAAAATATGCAGTTTTGGGAACATATAATGGCTTACCCAAGAAGGAAAACATTGTCTTACGTTGTCAATATTGCTTGACCTTTGAAGCAATACCAATTGGGGCAAGATGGCAACAGCTTCAAGATAGATTGAGAAACTCCACAAAATCTGTCAAAACAGGGTGGGTTTTACATAAGAAATCAAATCTATTTACTAAGTAAAAAGGTAATTTACTATGGAACGGTAGTTGAATCTTACTTTCAAGCAAAATAGATTCATAACAAAACCCAATTTAAAGGATTATATATCTACCAAATAAAAAGTTGACAAGAATATGATCAAAAGACAAATTTTACCAGAAATGGAAAATTAACAATTATTTACATTATGAAGACCTCTTTCCTAAGCAAACTGAACAAACGAGAACAGTAACAAAACCTGACTTTCCTGCTAGAAGTTATTAAGCAACAAAAACTTGCCTAGAATAGCTAAAATGCGATTTTAAAAGCTTAAACGGTAGAATTTAAATGAAACATAATGAACCTCACATAAAAAAAAGAACCTCAGTAATACTTCAACCACATATTAAAAAAAATACCACAGAACTTCAATTTCCGTAATTCAATCCTTCAACTTCTTATCAAAAATACCAATATTGCAGTAGCAATTAAACACACCAATACTTCAACTTCTATCATCACACCACAAGACTTCAATCTTCTTATCAAACACACTAACAACTCTAATTGAACAAAGAAAGGACGCGTATAATAAACGAAAATCAATGCAATGTCAATAAACGAAAATACATCAGCTTCTAAAAATTTGAAATCAGTTTCAATGTTACCATGTGAGAGAACTAAAAAATCAAAAATTGTACTTACGGGAGGTTAGGAACTGCCTCGTATTGGATGAATGAAGGAAGCCAAGAAGATCAATTAAAAGATGAAGATGCGTGGAGAAGAGATGAAGTCAGGTTCTGCATTTCGGAAATTCGGGCAACAACGATTAAGATGAAGACGCGTCAGAAGAGATGAAGATGCGTGGGGAAAAGATATGAAATTTGGGTTGTGCGTTTGGGAAATTTGGGGAAAAAGCTAGGGCAAAGATGCGTGGAGAAGAGATATGAAATTGACAAAAATGCTTTATATAGGTTAGGGTATTCTGTAAATAACTTAAAAAAGTAAAGGTTCTAATTAGTTGTTTAATTTTGAAATATAATTCTATTTTGCAAATAAGTCAATTTGTAACTAAAAATTTAGTCGGTAAAGAATTAGTGTTAATGGCCTATAATTAGGTCGGACGGGAACAAATAATTTGGGGGGAATATGAATTTTTTTAACTTAAATTGGCAACTAAATCAAATTTAATTACTGTATATATTTTGGGGCCCTTGTAATTACTGTCAAAATATGGGATATTTTAGTAATTTCATTTTTCTATAATTAATCGTAATAGTTACAAATAAATCCCTAATTATTCGCAACTAATTTAGCTAGTAAGGGGTAGTTGCAAAAAATTGTTTTTTGTAACAAAAAATGTAGATGCAAAATATAATATTTTAGATGCAAATTATCAACTTTTGGAGAGAAAAATTACCCGGAAAAAATTGTAACTAAATTTATTAACCGTTAAAGCAACCGGTTCTGTGACTAACAAAATAGTCGTAAAAAATTAACTTTAGATGTCAAATGTTAGAACATGTGGGTCCTAAAATTTTAATCCTTTTTGCTCGATTAATGTCAATTTTATTGGTAAATGTAGCATTTCAACAACTATTTCTGGTTAGTTGCTAAAAAAATGGTTGTAAAATGTCAGTTTTCTTGTAGTGGGATGACAATAATGGAAGCAGAGTTATAATCACTACTCGCATCAAAGAAGTAGCTGAGCGTTCGGATGAGAGAATTCATGTTCATATACTTCGTTTTCTTAGGCCTGACGAGTCTTGGAACTTATTCTGTGAGAACGCTTTTCGAAAATCAAATGCAAACGAAGAATTGTAAAAGCTAGGAATAGAAATGGTTGAAAAATGCGGCGGTCTGCCACTTGCCATAATTGTATTAGGCGGGCTGTTGTCTACAAAGAAACCACAAGAGTGGCGCTCGGTTCGTGATCACTTTTGGCAACGTTTAAGGAATGATTCAATTCACATACCTTCCTTATTAACGTTAAGCTTCAATGATTTGCCTTATCAATTGAAGCTCTGCTTTCTCTATCTTGGGAATTTCCCTGAGGATTTTGAATTCTTTATAGAGAAAGCAATCCGATTACTGTTAGCAGAAGGTTTCATACGAGAAGATGATGATCGAGTAATGGAAGAGGTGGCAAAAAACCACCTGGATGAGTTGATCAATAGAAGCTTGGTTCAAATTGAAAACATTTGTCGGGGGAGGGTTGAAACAAGCCGAATCCATGATCTTTTGCGGGATCTTGCAGTTCAAAAGGCAAAAGAGCTGAATTTCTTTCACATTTACGACAGAATTCACCATCCAACTTGCTCTGCAACTCCAACATCATCAGCTCGCCGTCTAGTTGTTTATTCGGAAACAAGTTCTTCGTTCCAACATTGTAATTCTCTCTCACGTTCCCTCTTGTTGTACGATCGAGATCAGGACTCTTTCAGGCAAACATCAACCGCTATTTTCACTAGACTCAGGTTGCTCAGACTTCTTCATGTCGAGAATTATGGAGGATACATTGATTGCCATAGCTTACCCGAAGAGATTGGGCAGTTGGTCCACTTAAAAGTATTTAACGGTAAGGATTACATTCATCAGAAATCTTCCACATCGATTGTCAACTTACGAAAACTGCAAACTCTGGACTTACACTCTCGCCATTTCCCCCTCAAGCTTCCCATTGGAATTGGCAAATTGCAGGAGTTGAGGCATTTAATCGGAACATTTGAAGTGCCTTTGCCGATGGACAATTTAACAAACCTTCAGACTCTGAAGTTCGTAAGCTATGAAAGTTGGAGTAAAGTTAATTTCCACTCACAAGGACAAGAACCATTTATATTCGACTCTATTGCCAAGCTGAAAAACATTAGAATTTCATCGGTAGAAGTGTCCGGCGTTCATTCGTTCAGTTCACTGCAACCACTTTCTCACTGTCCACGGCTCTAGGATTTGACATTGGGTGGGAAGATAGAGGAACTACCAGCAGACATGCACACAATCTTGCCGAATCTCGAATGCTTATCGTTAAGTAATTTTAATCTTTAGGATGATCCGATGCCAAAGTTAGAGAAGTCACCGAACCTAGTAAGTCTGGAATTGCGGTTTCATTGTTACCGTGGAAAGAAAATGATATGCAGGGAAAAGGGTTTTCCTCAGCTTGAAAGTTTAGGAATTATTGAACTGTACGACTGGGAGGAATGGCAAGTTGAGAAAGGAGCTATGCCTGTGCTTAAAAATCTGGAGATCAAGCCAAAGAACTCCGAGCTGAGAATTCCAGAAAGATTGATATCAATCCCTGCCCCCACCAGGAGATATTCGACTGTACGCACTCGTTTCTGATTAAAAATTTAGTAACTGGAATGCTTTGTCTTGGTGTGTTTTTTCATTTTAACAATACTATACATTAACTTGGAAGTATTGATTATATATTTATGGATTCTCTTGTGCGAACGATTTGATTTTCAACCATTTTTCAATATTACTGCTTAAAGGTGGAAAAGTAACCCGCCCGGCCCGGCCCAGGTTACTTTGTTTGGCGGGCCGGGCCTAACCCGCCCGCCAACAAAGGCAGGCCGGGTTAGGCCCGCCATTTTCTCCAAAATGGCTGGCCCAGCCCGGCCCGCCAGCCCTAACCCGCCGGGTTAGGTGGCGGGTTGGGCCGGGTTAGCCCGATTTTCCTTTTTTTTTTTTTTTTTTTTTGTTTTTTTATTTAACTTTTCAAATAAATAATTATAAATATAATTGTTTTTAATTAACTTTTCTAATATCAATAATTCAATTCAATTTTTTTGTTTGTTAACATTTCAAATATTAATTCAATTTTGATACAATAAAATTATAATATAAGAAAAATTAGACTTATTGAAGTATGGAAATTGGAATTTGGAAAATTGGAAATATAAATTAAAAATTGCAAAAACTAATAAAAATTAAAATATGAGCAAATTGCAAAAACTAATAAATGAATAATTGAGAGATTAGAGATTAGAGATTATGAGAGAATGAGAGAATTTGAGTTGTGAGAAAAATGTGAGAACTTAGGGTCAATTTATAGGAAAAAATGGGAAAGAGAAATGACGAAAAAGACCCTTTCAACGGCTATATTTCAAGGGTAAAAAGGTAATTTGAAAAATAAAATAAAAATTTTTATTTTTTTTATTTTTTTCGGCCAACCCGCCGGGTTGCACACAACCAACCCGGCGGGTTGCCGGGTCTCTTGCAAAAGAGACAAAATAGCAACCCGCCGGCTTGCGGGTTGCCATTGTGCAACCCGGCCCGCCCGGGGGTTGCTACCGGGTTAGGGTCAACCCGGACCGCCATCTTGATATCAAAGTAATGTATAATAATATTAAATTACTTTGATCAATTACTGTCATCTTGATTATATGCAATTGAGATTCAGTTTTACAAATTATGTAAACATTTATAAATGTTGAATAATTGTTAAGTTAATGTGGCCAAATGTAACATAAATTTAAAGGATTAGTCATTGTGAATATGTATCGACATTTGCTTTTTCCTTTTGTGGATTAATTATGGATTTAATCTCTCTGATTAATTAGGATATGTTTGTTACACACTGTACAAAAGTTGCAAAATTGGACTAATTACTGTAATTCACAGCCCACCTCGACCCAATTGACACGGTATAAATGGGCCTTAGTCGGTCCAAGCCTAGACATGAATGGGTTGTCATGAAGCACAAAGCCATAACCAGAGGACAATACCGAGAATTCGGTAACATAATTACATAGCAATGGATGCAATTAACTATTGAAAAATAGCAGCTTAATTTGGAGGCAAACGAATGTGCAAGAGAAGTGCATAAAGAAAACAAACGAATGTGCAAGAGAAGTGCATAAAGAAAACAATCAGCTGCGACACAATAAAAAAATAAGGAAGAAAACTTAAAGGAAATTGATTACCACATACACAATAATCAACGAACGAGATTAGAATTCAAAGTAGCTTTAGGCATCTTCACATCCCCATTCGGCCAAGGCGGAATTGATCTTAGCCTTTCTGGAATTCTGAACTTAGGAGATCTTTGGGATCTTCAAGTCTCTAAGCATTGGCATTGCATCTTGATCTACATGCCACTCCTTCAATTAATAGAAATCAAACTATAGAATGTCAAGTCGAGGGAAATCATCTGCTTGCCACTCCTCCAATTCATAAAAATCAAATTGTAGAATTTCAAGTAATTTTACTCTTTCTAGAACTTCACGAAGAGGAAAAATTTGCTGATTTTTATTATTGAAACATCTATCAGTTAAAATATCATTTGCTTTGAGTCCAAGCTCGTACGGCTGATATTATTATTGAAACACTCGGTCTATTGTCAAGATATTATCTGTTCTGGGTCCAAATTCATACGAAATTGCTTTTGACTTTCACCGAAAAATAGTCTTGGCAACTTAGGAGCTCACAGAATCATTTACTTCTTCTTCAAAGTTACTTAATCTGAAGGCAATAGGAGATTAAGAGAAAAAACTGAAAGAGAATTGATTAACACAAAATTAATAATCAATGAACCAAATCAGGATTAAAAGTAGCTTGAGTTATTTATAGGCACTCAGTACTCTGAGATCTTCACATTCAAAATCGGTAAGGGCGGGATTGATGTTTGGGATCTGCAAGCCTCCAAGCATTGGCATAACATCTTCATCTACTTAGCCACTCCTCCGATTTATGCAAAAAAAAAAAAGCAAAAGGCGAGTGACCTATTCGCGCGAGAGAAATAAGCGTGAGTAAATGATAACTTAAACCTTTTTCAAGAATGGTGAAAAACTTGGCGTCAACTCAAAAGAAGCCGCATGGCCTCAAGTGAGGAAGTATGATGATCTCGTTGATGTTACGTTGTTCACCGGAGAGGTTACTGAATCGCTGGAGCCTCTCCAAGCTCGTAGCAGGGAGATAGATTTGTTCGACGTTAACTGCGAAGCAAAACAACTCAATTAGTTTAAACATAAAGCTTAAAAGCGACCTTCGCAGACACTGGAAGTTTGAAGTCTTACTCACTTCCGAAGCGAAAACGCCGGTCTCCCGGGCCTCATAAAGAAAGAATTGTGAGTCCCAATGTGAGACCTTTTTTGGGACGTCGACCAGCCTGTTGAAATATACCTTCCTTGCCTTGGAAAGATAGTATGTCTAGTCTTGCCCTTTCTTTAGTCTATACAGATGGACGAGTTCCTTGAGGGTTGGCTTGCCCAAATCGGCAATCATATATGATATATATAGATCTATGATTATGACGTATGAGTTCGCTGACAGTTTGAGAGGAATGATGTCGAATTGTCTCAGAATGTTGTCAATAAAATAATGAAGGGGAATAGATACCCCGCATCTTAGGAGGGTCTCAAAGGTTGCCACCCACCCGGGTGGAGGATTCTTCTGAGAAGAATCCTCGGGAACCATTAAATTGAGTTGTGGCGCATAAACCTCTCTTATGCGCTTCAGGTCCTCGACGTTAATAGAGGATTATGGTTCCCTTTACAGTATATGAATTGGAGACCGCTTGCGATGAGCCAACTACATCAAGGCATGATTGGATGAGCTCGCCGCATCAAGATCTGAGCTTCGCGCAATGATTTCCCTAAAGACCTCAAGGATTATACCCCCAAGGAATGCTGAGCCTGCGGGTGAGTCAAATATGCGATCAATTGTGTGACTATTGGAAGAAGGCATAATTATAGCTCGCTTCTGGGTACCTAAAACAAAAGCGAACATGTGTCAAAGCTCGAAAAACTTGGTGGCCAATCCACACTTGCTTTCAGTTCAAGCAACTAGGATAGCTTGCGCCACATGACAAAAGCACGCTACCTACCTAGGATTTCGACAGCCACCGTGATAAACCCTCCTTAAACCCAAGGCTGCCAGAGACACACTAAGAAACCTTACTAAAGCCCTAGAAAATTCAATGTGGCCACAACAATGGCCACCCTTGGCTGTAGAAATCAGAAAAACAAATAAAAAGAGGAAAAAAGCCTTACCGAAATAAGAGAAGTGGAAGAACTCGCTGGAAAGAGCACCGTGATGATAATGAAGCAGTAATAGAGTGAACAAAAATGTCAGAGAGTTTTCATAAGTTGAATGAGTTTCTGACGACTTCGCCAACTTTTATAGTGGCCTGCATGGGAGACGAAAGGGCAAGGCTCAACGTAACCATCGATCTATAAAGAATCTTGACCCTTCATTCGTCGAGCAATCTCAGCCCTTAGACGTGGCCATGTGCCATCCATTTGTAAGGGGCGACGAACCGTCAGACTACTATAATGATAACTGTCACCGCGCATCGCCTCGACTCCGCAATGAAGCGTGGCTGCCAATGGCTACCGTATTTAATGCGACATGACCGCATGGAATTTGCATAACTATCCTAACTTTCCATGTTCTTACATTATTAGGTATCATAGAAAATAGAAGATGCAAGTGTGAAGTATGTCGACCGGGCATGAGGTCGACCCTTGGAGCTCAACCGAACCTATATCTGGAGACTTGCTGATAATGTCGAGCTTGATATCAAATCGAGCAATAGTCTTCGAAGCCCGAAACGAGCATCAAACACTAGCGGGCATATGTTGTGTGTGATTTTTCCACTAAGCTCAGGCTACCGTGGGGATGTAACTCAATTTAGAACCAGCTTGACTCCAACGATTATTTGACCCAGCGTAAGCTTGTCAAGCTCTAGCTCAATCCAACACAAGCTAGTCACGAACAATCCATGCGATTGTTCAACCAATTCCTAGATAACTCCAAATCACAGATATCTCGGGAGGAATCAGATTAACAGCAATCTTTGTGCAATCACAATGCCCAATCACGAGAATATCGGAGTTACATTTCAAATCAATTGGAATCCCTTTATTTTCGCTATTTCCTTTGTATAAACATTGTATATAATCCCCCTCAAATAATTAAAAAGGGGTTAGAAAATTCTCATAGAACTCGTATTGTAAGCTCTCACAACAAATACAAGAAGAGTGGACGTAGGCTTAAGAGTTTATCTCGTCGAACCACTTTAAAAGTCTCTTTGTCATTTACTTTTTTACACTCATCCCTTGTTCATCACTGGTTATCCGTAATCATGCACACACCAGTTCTGATCCCATTAAGGTCGATCAGATCACTCTAGTTGGTGCAGATTTCTGTATCAACACTTTGCTTCTTTATTAGTTAGAAATTAAAGAAACATCCATGCAATTTCATTCCTCGTCAACGTATTGACTTTGAATATTGTGGGCAAGGTGCCGAGAAGTCAAGTTTGTTTTTGTAAGCAATCAAAGAAATAGACCTTTCACTGGCTTTCACATGCATAGTTATCTGGCTACATGTGTGAA